AAACAAAGGGGATTTAAGGACCTCAGAGGTCGGTGAAAGGAGCAGAAATACAATCTGTCACTGGGTATTCAGAGAATAAATGCTCATGCATGTAGCATCCCTACAAGCATTTCTTCCAGGGATCTTGGCTTTGTTTTGGTGGTTGGATGAAGTTGTGCTTGTTCCCAGTAAAAGGGAGCAATGTTCCCCACTTCAGGCATTGAAGGTGATAGTGTGCACGTGTGGGTTTTGTTTCTGGGAGGTCAGAGGGTCCTGCCTGAGGACAGGAGCCCAACACAGCACCTGGGGAACAGCAACCATAAGGAGTCCTGCAGGTATGGGGCTTGCTGGGGAGCTGGTGGCAGGAGGGAGAACCACTGGGCAAGAAAACCACATCGGGCAGAAATTCCTGATGTTTTTAAAGGATTTGAGGCAGGTGGTTTGGGAATGAGTTTTCCCAAGGTTGTGCTGCAATCCAATTTCCCATGCTGGTGTGATGGACATGGCTCCTGTAGACACAGAGCAGCCAGATGTCCTCTTTTCCCTTAGTGTACATGTTCCAAATTGATGAGCTAATATGACTATGTAAACCTTTGAACAGGTTTCCCAAAACACAGCTGCTTTGCTTTGGGTGAGTGGGTTTTTTTTCTTTTTTCCTTTCTTTTTTTCTTTTCTTTTTTCCTTTTTTTTTTTCTTCGTTTTGTTTTGTTCTCTTTGCTTTCAGAGTGTTTCCTAAACCAAATGCAACAGTTGAAGCTTTTCTTGCAGAGCTGCAGAAGAGCATTCCCAGGTGACAGCAGCACAATAAGCAAACTTCAAGCTGATTTATAATGCAGATGGCCCATAGAGGTGTCCCTCAGCTGTCTGAAAAGGCTTTTGGTTGCCACTAGATGTCCTTTCAGCCCTTCTTTCCCCACTGCTCCTCCAGAACAGTCATCTGGGCTGGGATCTCTTGGCCATGGCCCAGGGGCCGTGGGACACCCCAGAGCTGATGAGAGCAAGGAATAGGGCTGAGCCCCAGGCTTCTGGGACCTCCCAAACATCCCTTTTATCTCTCACAACTTTGTCCCAAGTGGTGCTGGCTCATAGAAGTAAGAATGATTTGGATACTCAAAATGCAACTTCTTGATCTGTACTGGGTATTAGTTACTTTAATACCTCTAGTATGAGTCAGGGACTGTTATGCAGGGCCACTGGTTAGTAGAGCTCCATGTAGGCAGCGTTGGAGGGTAAAAATGATGATGTCTGTCTCAGTTTCAGGTGATGGTGGCCCCATTTTGTGCAGGTGTTTAGCTTCCTGTCTATGAAATGGTAAATCAAAGCTTTGCAGGCATATTCCATAGACATGCAGGTATGCATCATCAGAAAGCACAGCTAACAATGCTGTGGGATTTTCCAAGTTGCCTGGATGCCCAGAATTTGTCAAGCAGTTGATATCTCTGTAAGGTGTGTATCGATCCCTATGAGCACCAGCAATCACTTGAAGCATCTGGAGCTGCTTGCAAATGCAGCTGCATCTGCTGTCTCTCAGGCAATGGCAATCCCAGTTGCTCTTCTGGGGCAGGTTATGTCAGGTAAAGGAATTAGAGGGAATCTGCTTTGCCAGAAATGCCTGCTGGTTACAAGGATATCTGGGGGGTCATGGAATGCAGCCTTTCAAGGCAAGCTGAGCACCTTCCAGGAAACACTTGGCTCTTTCTGGTTTAGGATCAGAGGGAAAGCAATGACTAACAGACAGAGTTTCTGATAGATTGAACACAGAGTCAGTGAGAGCTGCAAACAGCAACCCTCAAATTACCTGTATTTCCAGTTGGGACCCATTGAAGGCAACAAACTGAAGAACAAATTCCAGTGCGAGTGCTAGGCATGGAATGTTACAGAATGCCCTGGCATGAATTTGGTGCAGCCAGGGCTTTCAAGATGAGCTGTCCATTCTTCTGGATCTGAAGCCCAAATCAGCTTATGTTTTTCCAAAAGTGCTGAGCAGCTAGGAATAAGAGATCTGCACATCTGGATATCAATGCTTCATTTAGTCTTCTGATGCTGTGCACATCTGGATATCAATGCTTCATTTCTGAAAACTGACTTTGGGGGAAATATATCCCAAATGTGATCAGAGCTTCATTTGACCTAATGGAAAGTGTGTTTTGGAGAGTGCAAGCTCTGTCTGGGCTTATATAAAACATATTCAGTGATGTCAGGTTGCATGGGAGGCCCTTTACCCTTGGACAACAGGCACAGCTCCCTGGCTCTGGATCCCAGCAGGATGGTGAGTCCTGGGGGTGGTGGCTTTTTTATTCACATTTATTCCCATTCTCTACAAATATGGACCCAGAAGGAATCCAGCCCTGCTGTTTAATTAGCTCAGAGAGCATTTGTGTTGCTCTAACAGTGCCTTTGACTTCCCACCCAGGACTCAGGGGTGACCAGTGCAAACCCTCAGCCCCACTGATGACTTTACCATTGCGCCCTGTGTTTGCTCCCACAGCCCTGATAAAACCTTGTGACTGCAGAGCCAGCACTTCCACCACATGGGTGTTGTCAGGAAAGCTCCCTGTGTGTAGCAATCTGGCATGGCTTCATGCCTTGATTTAGGGAGCCTGGGGGAGCTGGGGCACACTAGGACCTTCCAGAGCACTGCACCATCTAGCACAGGCCACCAGACAACTCTTGCTTCTTAATAAACTTTATTTGGCCATTGCTGACCTAGACCATATATGAACAAGTGAAAAGCAAGTGGTGAAAGGCTCTGTGTAATATTACTAATCCCATGTAGTGCTCTTGCTGAAAAGGCCAGGCAGGTCTCCCTGCTATTGTGTCCTCTCACTGCAGCTGCTCTGGTTACCCCTGTGCTTTTATTAAGATAAAATCTAATAGCACTGTTTCTGAATGGGTGCAGCCTGTGGGTAATCAATGCCCAGGGGGAGGATGGGTGTGTGTGTGTGTGTGTGTGTGAAAATCTCCTGTGCAGGGCTTGGTGCTGCATCTCCATGTGCTCCTGGCTGCAGAATGCCAGGGAGCAGCTTTGCAGGTTGGATGGGGTGAGCAGTTCCCTACTGCCCTCCTTGGAGGCTCTGGGAAGGGTTTACACACTTGTGCTGCAGCATTAGTACTCCAGTAAAGGAACTGCAGGGTCTGTGTGTGCTGCTCCTGCTTACCCTGCAGATGTTTAGGTGCTTGGGAAGGTAAATTGGGAACTGGTGAGCAGTCAGGGCTGGCTGATGCATGCTCAGGCTATACTTGAGCAGCTTTACTTTTCAGTCTCAAAGCACAAATGTGTGGTCTGCATATGAGAGAGGCTGGAGCAAAGGGTCTCCTGTGGCTTCACAACCTGCAATCTCGTGGGGAAAACATAAGCAAATCTTAAGGTTGCTGCCAAATCTTGGTGGAGGAGGTACCTACATCCATATTTTTTATATTTTTTTTTTTTTTTAAAATGTTTTAGCAGAGATGTTTCAGTCTGAAGGAAAGTGGCTGATGCTTTGTGTGTGGCAGTTCCCTTCTGATGTAGTATTTCCCTTTATAATTGCCTATGAGGGATGGCAAGGGATGCTCCTCTTGTTCCTGGGAAGTTAACAACCCTGCCTTGAGATGCAGGTTAACCAGTTTGGGAAAACCAGCTCAGAGCCAATTTTATCTCTTCATGGTTTCAATTCCTGTTTCTCAGAGTTGTTTAATTCAACAGACAGTTTTTAGGTTAAAGGACATACATGTATTAAACCAAACAGTTGTGGGGTTTTGTTTTTTTTGTCTCCCTCTCTGGCAAGTGGCAAAAAAAAATTACAATTGGTTTTGGTCTGGCAGATGAACCCAGAGCTAAGAGTCATTGGCACAGGTTACACCCTGCAAGGTGTGAGTCACTGAGAACTGTGTTTGGGCAACCAGAGCAGTACACAGCATTCCCAGTGGAGTTTAACCACCTCTTATGCAACCATATCAATATTTTTCCAGGAAATACATTGCCCAGTAATTGCTAAATAAGCATAAACTGTCTTTGAAGTCTGGTGGCATGTTGAAATCAAGTTTTCTCAAGGAAAAGCTACTGGCTTTGTTAAAATGTGACTCAAGAAAGGTGAGAGGCAGCTTGGCTTGCTCATGGGTTCAGGTTTGCCTGGAGATTGGGCTCAGATGCTCATCCAGAAGCAGTGCCTTGTGGCTGATATCCCTAGAGATTGAATTTCTTAAATCCTCTGGAATCTTTCTCCTGATTTTCATTCATAGGTGTCGGAAGCTTGAGCTCTGTCCTCGTGCAGAAGAGGAAAATACTTTGAAATCTAACAGCTCTTTATCCTTCAGCTCTGCCAGGGTATTATCACAGTAATTAGGGATATATATATATAGCGTGGGTGTACATATATATATTTTTTTTTTCCCTTTTTTCTGTCTGAACTGAAGGAAACCCCTGATTCTGGGAGTAGCTGTGTGCACAGCTGCCTTTGCACAGCTGGGAGCAGGCAGGAAGGCCAGCAGTGCTGGGCAGGGAACACTAGGAGCTTTTAATCCATTTAAACTCTTGCTGGTTTACCATTTCAATATGTTGCTTTGCTTTCATCTGGGGAGTGATGGAGGAGCTTTGTTGGGTGCAAAGTTCCTCCCTTTGGGTGAGGGTAGAAACTGCTCAGGAAGAGGAGGTGGTGGCTGATGGGTTTTTGTTGCCTGTATGGTTGTACAACCTTCCCTAATCTAACCCAGATCTTGTCTAAATCACTTTTTACTTAATTTTTAATGGATTGTAGAGGCTGATTTACATTTACTAACACTAGATTTTGGCATTGCCCTTCTTTATATCACAGCATTCCTCAGTGTCTGGCTAAAATCCAACTCTTAAAATGAGAAAAGGAACATAAATTATACTGGAACAATGTTTTCTAATTCCAGTGTCATCAAGAGACCATAATCTCTAATCAGCTTCTCTGATTCACTGTTTTTCTCCCCAAACCAATATAGCCATCAAAAAAAAAGAGATTAGAAGTGACTGGAGTTCCTTGATGGCTTAAGGAAATTTAAAAGCAATTCTCAGCTTTTTTTAAATATATTTTTTATTACTTTTTTTGTTTGTCTTAGAAAGAAATATGAAATCTGCATGCAACCTTCTAAATATTTCAAACATTTAAATAGCATATGATAATTTAGCAGTACAGTACATTATACAGCAAGATAATATAGGGAGACTTCCTATAGTGTATTTACAAATGAAAAGGTAGTTTTGTTATATTAAAAAGAGGAATGCACTGCTTAACATTGAAGTATTACATTCAAAATAACGAATATGGTGTATTGTGACTAAAACATACATAGGTATTTATATGTTTGCCCTATCATATTTTCATAAAAATGTACCTTTTAAAGGCTTTTTTTATTGTTGTTGTTGTTGCTACAAATCTAGGAAATCATACACAATAGTCTCGAAGCTTAAAATGTCTCAGTACTGAAGCCACAAACTTTCTGTAAGTGCTTCAGGTGGAAAGAAAAAAAACCCCAGATTTTCTTAGTAATAAAAATGACCTAGAAATGCTTTCTATAATGCATGAAAGGTTAAATGGGAGCTTAGGGGATGCTTCGTCCTGCAGCAAGACCTCAAGTCCTTTAAAAAAGAGGTACACAAGTGGTGCTCACACTCATTTGAGATGCTGAGGGACCTCCCTTCTGCTGCAGGTACAGACACAACATTTCAGTGGCATCTTTCCCAGCAAACTTGTCTTTGGTCCCTGTTTTGCCTGACTAAGGTGGAGGCTGCAAATATGACCAAGCACTGAAGCTTTCCCACTGTGAGAGGGTGAGGGATGTGGCTGTGTAACACCATCCCAAACATTCCTGTTTGCCTAATGAGCTTATAAAGCTCGATTGCAATCATAGTGATGTATGAATGAATAAAAAGAAATCCCAAACCAACTTCTTTTAAAATGAAAAGCATGTGGTTTTTCCCAGTTTCAGTACAGAGCAGACAGGTAAGAAATCAGAAGTGCAACAGATGCTTGTGAAATCTGGAAGCCTTTTGCACGTGGCTATAAAATGTAAAAACTGACCCTTGGTAAAAAGTGCTTTATAATAATATAGAATTTGTGTCTTATGTCTGTGAGAGAGAAAGAATCTTCTGTAGAGCCCAGTCCTATGCCAGCCAAGGGAGTCTGCTCCATTCCTCATGCCACTTCCTCTTATTCTTCATAAACCCTAGACAGAAGAAGAGCCAAGAGCAATGTGTTTAAACTATGAATGAAACAACTCCTTTTCCAATATTACTAATAATAGTAATAAACCAACCCACAAATAATAAAACCCCAGAAACCAGATTTTTAGCCTTCATCTAACTAATCTGGAAGGCAAGTTATTGACTCCAGCAGTTACCAGATTGCTATTCATATCCATAAAGCATCTGGGAGGAGTGTTGTATGTCACCACTGCCACATCTTGGAGGCATGTGGGGAATAACATGCTCTGCCATGAATATCAGGATAAATATGATGCAGAAATCCACATCTGCTCATTCACTTTCACCACTAGAAAATCCCTATCTTATCTACAAATGTTGAAGCTTAGCATGAGCTGTGCATAGATAATAAATTTATAGCATCTGTTATGTTTGGAATAATATTACCCTATGTCACTTTTCTAGATTACCTCCTGACAGAACAACTTGATGGGCTTGTCTGCCTGTATGTTTACCTGAAGGCACAAGCCTGGGGCTGAGCATCCTTTGTCATTTTAATGACAGCCTTATTAAAAAAAAAAAAAAACTCACAGGGGAAAAAGTGTAAATATGTGGTTATGCAATAGCCAGGGCTGCCCCACGTGCTCTGTTTGTGAAGGAGCTGGCAGGGAGTTGGGGGAGATGGTCAGAGGGACTCACAGCCACCTCTTGCAGTGCCCTGACACTGCCCATGCCCCCAGGCACCTTGGGGCTGTGCCAGAGCTCACTGGCACCCCTGGACCTGCAGAGAGATGGGGCTTGCTGCTCACTGGCCTCATCTGAGCTCAGTTTTAGAGAGCAAATTGCCCATCAGATCAAGAGCATGAGGATTTGGTGGGTACTGTGTGTGGAGGCTCTTTCTTGGCCATGGCTGGTGAGGTGGCAGAAGTTGGGCAGCTTCCCTTAATTACAAATGGGAATATCACCATGGACTATCAGGAATTCAAGATTCTCACTCTCTGTCTCCTATCTATAACTGACAACTTGGAGGGGGGGGGGGGGAAACTTTTTACAGGGGAGAAGGTATCAAAGATTTTTACCAGAAAATGACTGTTTTTTTTCTGGGAATGAGACACTAGTTAAAATTGGCAAATACCTACGTCATTGGCTATTGATGATGTTGAGGTGGTGTGATTGAAGTGTGTGACAGAGCTCTTTCTTGCCAGCTCTCCTGACTGCTTTTCTCATGACCACGTGAAAGTAGTTTAGCTTTTCATCTTGGATTTTCACCCGTGGAAGGGAGGTGAGTGTATGCAAATAACCAAGAACATCAGCTGATGAATAGTTTAACTGAAAATAATTACTATTTATAGTCAGAACAGCCAAATCCTAAAATAGAAGTGAGAACTGGAAGTGGCAGGAAAGAATTAATATCAAGAACATCCATTTTAAATGGTAATTTTGGTAATGAAAACACATTCTCCATGCTGGATGGAGCATTTGCAGCGTGTGCATTTCCCTGACTTCTCCACGTCTGAATGCTGCTGATTGCCCAATTTGCCACCAATATTCTCCACCCATTCAGCAAACTGGTACTCACCTGCCTTTCTCTTTCCATACTCGGTACCACTTGAGCAGCCTCACTGTGTTTTGCCGTTTGGGGTTTAGGCAGTGCTGCTGCTCACCTCTCACCTTTGTCCACAGAGTCACACTGCAAGGCAAGTGAGACAGGTTATGGGAGGCACAGACAACACTCATTGCTGCTCGTGCTCCACAAAGTGCCAGAATTGCTCAGGGGACTCTCCCCTAGGTGGGCAATGTCATGCTCTGTGTTTTATGGCAGGTATTGGAGTTTAATAGAATAACAGAGCAGCACATCTTCAGCTGTTCTCACCGAGTGCTGGACACTATTGCTCACAGTTACACTAGTTTGTACCAGGGGAAGACATACCCACTGGTTTTTAGTCAGTGGGTTTGCTCTGCCTGTCTGTGAGATATCACCTTTTGAGCCTAATACAGAAATCAATTAGGGCTCATTCAGGCAACCACAAGGTATTTGCATGAGGAGACAGTTCCTTTACATTCAACACTACTTCATCCAAGAGAAAAGATCAAACCTGCTTCATTGATTTTTTTTTTTTTTTTTTCCCCCCTTTAATTCTGCAATATTTTCAATACTTGCACTAGTTCCTACAGCCTAGCTCTGAGCCTCAGCATGCAGCCCTGGGAGCTTCAGCCTCCTCTGGTCACAGCCTGATCCTGCTCTCTTTGCCAGCTTAGTGTCCCCTTATTGTCAGGACAAGGTGTGCTGGGAGGCAAAACATGGCTAAAGTCTTCTCATTGGTTTTAGTTCCCTCCTGGAGGGCTTAGTGAGGCCATTACCAGTTGGTCTGACACAATTAGGTGACACAAGAGACCCAGAGCTGCTTCCCAAGAGGATGGCTTTGAGAAACATCAAGACTGCCCCACTTCTTGGGGCTCAAAATCAAGCAGTTTTCTGGTTTTGTTATTAATTTAGTGATTTAAAATACCCCAAATGAACAAAACAAAGCTCAACCAAATCCATAACCATGATTTGTATTAGTTATTAATTTTCTGGAAATACTATCCATAACAGAAAACCAGTTACTGGTTTAACTTAATATAATGGAACTATTTAAATGCTGCTAGAGATGTGAGTAAAATGACAACAGAAAACCAGAAATACCTATGTATACTGATGGGCTTCTTTTATGGTTTGCTTCAGAAAGGAGCTGTTTATCTTCTAACACAAGAAAGAAGGGCCTTGCAAACTTTCCCAGCTCTCCCTCCTGGTGCAGAGGGGATGTGCCTGATGAAAGAAAATCTGCTGCCTGCATGGACTCAGCTAAGGGTCTCACCACAATTCCAATTTCAAGATTGTACAAGGTGTTCAAATAGTTCTTTCTACTCAATTAACCTTTTCCCCTGTTCCCCTTTCTGTTCCACCTCTATCAGCTGTAGGCTAAAGTCACAATAATTAAGATGTAATTTCCACATTGTTTTCTGGGAGGATGTGGACTTTTCCTCAATGCACAGGAAAGTAACAGAAGCCTCCAAGAGCCTCATTGGGTTTGCTGCAGGCATCAGAAAGGGAAGGGTCACTGCTAAACACTATGGACTATCTCTGTTCTAGGGGTGTTCTCAGCCAACCCCTCTGGAGAGCAGTATGTACACAAGGAGAATTTTCCTGTAGCTTTGAACGGGAGGGGAAACCAAACCTTCACTAAAGGCATGGAGCATGCAAGTTTTAAGGGCCTTGGTCAGTGCAAAATTTCTGGGTGCAGCAGCCACCTTCTCTGTGCTGTCTGCACTGGCTGATCCAGACCATAGAGGGTATTTCCAGAAACAGATGGACAAGCTGAATTGCAGGAGGAATGAGCAGGAACATCTCTGAAAAGCAACAAGCCCTACATTTGCATTAGAAGAAATGAAGGATCCTCTGGGTTTACTATAGCCTGCAGTCTCAGGAGGAGAGGTGCATGGTTTGCTTCTCAAGTGAACTGGGTCTTTCCTCAGGCTGAGGTGCACTGCTTTAGCATCACTGTAGGTTTTCTGTTTTGGTGCTGGAGGATGGACAGCAGAGTAGATATTTCCAAGGCAACCCCAGGGTCCCCTGCAGTTCTCAGGCAGGTGCTGATGGACACAGGGTTGGTTGGCAGAGTTTCTGGGCACTCTGAGCTGACCTGGCCCTGCTTTTGGGAATGCTGTTCTGACAAATGTAAGGAGATATGCCCAAGAGGCACTGTGGGAGCTTATACCCTGAGTAAGGAGTTGTCTGGGTGGGCTGCAAGAAGAGGTTGAGAGGGATGGAGAAGGACTGAAGCACCAGAACTTACATCTTCACTGAGATCCCTCCAGTGGGATTTGTCCCTTAGCTGCCCAGGGCTTGGTGACTGGAGCCTTCAGCCCTGTTGTCTGAGGGTCCCTGTGCCAACATCCTCCCTGGTATGTCCATGGCCCAGGGTTGTCATAAGCATCCTTGGGTCAGTGTGTGACTCTCAGCACCCTGTGCCCCCACACATCTCTTCTGCAGGGATGGTGGGGCTGCACCTCTGCCTACAAACACCCTACCTCCAGGGCCACAGGGGTCCTGGATCTTGTCCTTTCACCCAAGCTGATATGGAGACTGCCTTGACTGTCCCTTGAGAAAAGCTTCCAGCAGTGCCTATTTCCCAGCAGCTGTCCTTGTCCTGACACTTTCCTGCTCTCTGGGATGGGCCAAAGCATGGCAGGGGTTGGGAGGCTGGAACATTGCAGGCAGAAAGAGTTAAACTTGCCTCCTATTTTCTGCTGCTTTCCCTCATTCCAGGAGACAGATACATTCACAATTACTGCTAGTGTACCATGAATCTTGATAGGTTTTGACTAGACTGAGGACTCAGTTTAACTGTCTCTTACCCTGAACCCACAGCTCTGCTGTGGGGGTTATGGCCAAAACCTCCTGAAACTGCACCCTCCCTTTACTACTGCTTCTCTGCCCAATATCATATATATCATATTTCTGCTCTATGAAAAGGTATGAGAGCTTTTGAGGAAGGCAGAAAGGGAAACAGTTTCAATAACTCATTTTAGATGATCACTGCAGCAACAAAAACTCAGCTGCAGGAATTTAGCTCCTCTGTGCCTTGTCCAGAGCCTCCTAGATCAATTGGTTCTCAGAATATTAATTTCAGTTTGCTTTCAGGACTGAGTTTGGGCTGGAAAGGCAGCGATGGCAGAGGTTTCACCCTGCCTGCCCCACAGATACCTGTGGTGATGGGAGAGGATGGGACAGTTCTGTCCCTGCAGCTGCTGCTAATCCTGGGCAACCCTCAGGCTTGAATAGCATTGCTCAACATCCACATAGCTATCCAGCTGGGAAAGCAACCACTCCTACATGGCATTCCACCTTTCCCAACTTTCTAATTGGAAATCAGTGAAATGTTGCATTAATGAGATTTATTTATATGCCCTTGTCACCTACTGCTTTTGGGTAAATGCTGGAGTGGCACACAAAGAGTTAGTGTTCCTCTGCACCATCCTTTTGCTATTGAAGGGTCAGAGCAAACTAACTAAAGCTGCAAGGAGCTGATGCAGGCAGGGATGTTCTGCAAGCATTTTTCTGTTCAGGTCACCACCAGCTTCAAAGAAGTGGATCTGATGTTCCTTGAGCTCAGCATTGCTCACAGTGATGCTTGTCTAACTCTGGAGGAAGCCTAAGGAAGCTTGTATCTCCATTCCTCCTCCACAAGCCCACTGCTGAGTCTGTTGAACCAGTTCTGTGTGGGAAGACTGTTGTATCTCCTTGTTTGTGCCACTTGGATGGGCAAGATTTGGCCCCATGGGCATTACAGAGTGCAGGAGGTGGTACACAGCTTGGCAGGACAGGGCACAGATCCTGCTGGTAAAGCACCTTTCTGAGGTTAAGTGAAATATTCCATGAGGGAGCACAAATATTGGATCAAGTCAGTCCTTGTTGTCTTGTGGGTGTGACTGCTGTTGGGACCCTTTTCCCCTCTTTTAGGTGAGAGAAGGGCTCGGTGCAGTCATCTTGGCTAATCTGCCCTTCTGGTCCTTATCCAGCCACATGTGCTGGTTGGATGGTGCTTTGTTGGGGGAACCTTAAGATATTCAAAACAGGACAGAAAAAACCCAAAGCCACCCATATTTAAAATCTAAAAAAAACCTCCTTTTGAGCCTGTCATGTCAAAAATCCTTGTACCTGCCTAAGCTTGGTTTGCCACTACATCACTTAGAGATTTCACAGCAGTATTGGTCCTGACTTGCAGGGAGACTGGGAGGAAAGCACTTGCTTACATGCTGTGTGATCCCATCAAATGAAGGGGATTGCTCTGGTACAACACAATTGAAAATCTGACTCTGCTCAGGGTAACTCTTCCTTGCAGAAGCAACCACAGACCAAACTCGGCTCATGTTTATTCTGCATGCCCAGAATTACTTAAGTAATTAGTTCTGAATTTCATATCAGACATTTGAGTAGGATTTGTCACTATTTTCACTTGAACTAATGATTATCTTTTTATTGCTACCTGTTCTGGAAGTATTCATTTGAGGAAAAAATTTCAACCTGTGTTGAAAAATGATAGTTGGGGGTTTTGGTCAGAACTGCACATTTTATTGCATCTGATACAGCAAATGACTAGTCCCAGGAATTAGCATGCCAGGGCATAAGGAAAACAAAGAACAAAGAAGGAACTTGCAGTATAAGGTAAAGCAGTTCAGCTGACAGGGAAACAGAAAGCAATAAATTAAGGAAAACTTACATAATCATCTCTTCCACGCAAAATGGGTACCTTGGCTTTACTTCCAGCTTCCGTACATTAGAGAATCTTATTTTAGGACCTTTTCTTGAACATTTGCACTTTACGCCTACAAGAGAAAGCATTTTCTCATGTGCCTGCAAAACCTCCTGCATACCAAGCGTCCCTTCCCCTCTAGCCTGTGTGCATCTAGGAAAACTTCAGTTTCTTCTTTCAAGACTTGGTGGGAAAAGCTGAATTTTGTAATGTTGGTGAGATTAAAAAGAGATCAATTTTTTTTTTTCCTTTGGTTTATCCCAGGAAAAGGTAATGACTCTCTGGGTAATATGTTTCAAAGCACTATATATGTTCTAAGGCTTTGTAAATATGAGAGTTTTTTTTGAAGTACACCTGCTGTGATTAAATACAATTGTATTTAACAAAAGGAAATGAAAGAGTCAGAACTTGCTTTAAACTGAGCAAGCAAGAGCACAGCTCAGCTACTCTCTCACTTATGTCTCTGTTGGACTTTGTAGGACTTTCAGTCATTTCTCCTTGCATGGATGCTGTGGTGTAGCTGCAGCCAGACAAAAGCTGAGTGTTTTTAACCATCATTTTTGTGCAATTTGCCACCACCTCAAATCCAGCTCTGCTCTATTTTCCCTGAAAACCACCCTCAGTGTTAAAGGAGATATTCCAGCTATATTCCTGAATAATGGAGAAGATGACATAACTTTCCACACTGTGAGCTCTTCTCCTGGCAATGAACACCCAAATTGAAGACACAACTTTGTCCTGTCTTATTTTACCTCTACTTCCACCTTACAAAAAACTTGCCGCTCCCTTACTCACAGATTCTATACATTACTCCTTCCCAACACGCAGGGCACACCTCAACCCAACTCAGGGCTATATCAAGAAGCAAATACAAATTACTGGAGAAGAGGTTTACACGGGAATAAGAGGAATAAACCACTTTACCTTCTGCGCTGGCTAAGCACATGGCGATGAAGAGCAGAAGCAGAGCTGCTGTCAGGAGCTTCATGGTGAGACAGCAGGTACCCAAGGAGACTCCGGGGGGGGTTGATGTGTTTGCTCGTTTAGGGTTGTCCCTCCCGTCCCCGCTGTGCCGGGGCTGTGTGGCCAGGGAGGGACAGAGAGCAGCAGCTCCCGGCGCTGGCTGAGCTCTGCCGCTGCCTCCCGTTCTCCTCCTTTAAAGCGGCTCCTGCTGCCCTCGCTCCCGGCTCATTAATATGCAGAGCAACTCCACTGCTCCCTCCGCTTCCTCAGCCCGGGGGGAGGGCGGGGGGGATCAGCATCCCGGGGGAACATCCCCCATCCCCGCCCCGAGCATCCCTCGGCAGCGCGAACCGTGCGGCGGGATGGGATGGGATGCTCCTGCCCCTGCCCAGGAGCTGTTCCCCATCAGACGGAGGTTTGCTCTCGGGGTGATGTGTATTTGTACGAGTAGGGCTGTTAGGTGGAAAACTACCCTCTTGCAGGGATGCCTGCGCTCCGCAGAAATTCCCATGCGCCTTGGAAATCAGATTGGGAAAAGTCTCACCTGGGAAGGAGTGTCACCTTTTGTCACCTATTGAATTTCATGTGAATATTCTAACTTTAACAAGCTTCTAAACCTAAAAGAAAGCTTAGTGAATTAAAGGGGAAAATTAGTCCTAAGAGCGTTTTTAGGTGTGTTTTAGCATGTGGAATGCTTCAGGAAATAAGATCAGTTTAGGATTGCTTTAATGAACACTCCAACAATGTTCTGCTCCATGTAGAACAGGGCAGGAACTTCATGGATGTAAATACATATTCCCTGTCCCTTGCAGAGTCTGTTTATGATTTCAACAACAGTGAAAAGCGCATCTTTAAATCCAGATTCCAGATTTTTGTCTAACTGAACCGGGTGAAGATCAGAGCCAGGTCGAACCTGCTTTACAGCCCTGGATTCCAAACACGCGGCAGCGAAAAGCTGCTGCTGGTCCCTGGTTCATCCCAGCCCCTTTCCCAGTCCGTGCTGCCCACACTCCCTGCTCACACACCATCCAGGGTATTAAACCCGACCGAAACCAGCCATCCTGCCAGTCGGGGCAGCCCTTGGGAAGGACACACCATGCAATCCCGGCTGCGCTTGCATTTTAAGTTTCCCCCAGGGTTTGGTTGCTGCTCCCGTTGGCAGCAGTTATCCCGCTGCGTTCCCGGCCCGGGTGTTGGCAGGCTGTGAGTACAGCCCTACCACACACAGCCTGCACGTTGTGCACAGCCTTGTTCCTGGCCCTGGGGCTCCTGCGAGACGTGCAGACACGCCGGGAACAGCCTGAGATGGGGAGCAGGGAGGGCAGCGCTTTGGGGACAAGGCTGACGTGGCAGGGAGTTTTTGGGGTGAAGGATCTGTTTTTGGGCAGGTTTGTCTAACTGCTCCCAATGCAATGGGATGGGTTGGTGGGGTGAGGAAGGGATGGCAGTTTTTTTTGTGATGCTTTGGGTAGTTTTGCTGCGCAGCTCTAAATGAGCTCCCGAGGATCTCATTGCACCTTGCTAGGAAAGGGTTGTGGAGTGTGTTATTAAATGCCAAGAGGACTGAAGAGAGAGGTTTGTTCCAGAGCCTGGGATAAATATAGGTACCTCAGGTATGGCAGGTCTCAGTTCAAACCTTTGAAATAAATTTGTTTCTTAGAGAAGAAAGGAAAGACCCCAAACTGCAGGAGAGCACAAAAGGCTCATTTCCCAGTCGTTATCAGCTGCTGGTGATGATGCTTGCTGGGCACAGGGGAGAATTGGCTTAAACTCACTCACATCCTGCTCTGCTGCGTTTTAGGATAATTCTCTCCTTTCAGCTTCCCCTCCACCATGTTCAGGAACAGCCTTGGGAGAGCTGTGGGAAGGCAAAGCCTTTTTCCCTCCTCCTTTGCTAATAAGAATTTGGGTGCAGCTTTAGCTGACAGCGATTTGAACTTTCCCCAAATCAGGAAACTGATGTACATGCTGGAGAAAAATTGAAGGAAATTCTCACGCTTTCCAAAAGCAAATCCCATCTTCTTGTATGACTCTTACTCAGGTTGAAAGAGCCAAGTTTATTAGGTATTGAATAAGCAAAGTGCTGCTTTAGTTGCAATTTTTCTGTTGAAATGGGTGTATTTGCAGTGTGTGTGCACATATGATGACTCTGACTGTGCACTCGAGTGGTTCAATGTCTTTATGCCAAGTGCTGGCTTTGACAGTAATTATTTCTGAGAGCTCAAAGGTGTCTCTTGCATGGTCTGACAGATTTTGGTGGCTATGTACAGCTGTCTCTGACACCTGCTCTATCTCAAGATGACAGTCACAGAAGAGGAAGAAGTTTTAGCAAAGGATTTGAGGCAAGGGAAATATATATGGATTTCACCACAGTCTGCCCCCAAAGAAACCCTGATAATCCAGATACATTTTCTATGTGTGAGCATATGCTGAGTTTGTCAGCATGCCCTGGTGTGTGTGCACCTGAGCTATCTCCAGCAGATCTGCTAAGCCTCAGCAAATGTGTTTTGGTGGACAGCTGGTGTTTCACAGGTTGGGGAGGGCTGCACCAGTTGAAGCATCCATTTCAGCCCTCACAAAGCCACCCAATTGCAGAGTAATTGATCAGGGTTTGGCTTTTGGCCCCCACAAAAGGTGTGTTTTGAAACAGATGTAGTCACCAAAGACCTGCTGTTGTCCTCAGCTCTGCAGATGGGCCATGCTCAGAGTGCCATGCTGTCCCCAGGGGAGCATCACCTGTACCTGTGCACAAAGCGTGTCACCTGCTCTGTCTGACTAATTAGAGCAGCATTGTTGCTGCTGAAAGGGCTCTCATTTCATCTCATTCTCTGCTCTTTTCAGGTCTCTGTGCCAGCATAAGGCTCCCTAGCAAACCAAGGCTGAAGCCTGGCTTTGTCTCTCAGGGTAAAACCCAGTGGGACCAGCAATGATATGCCACCCTAGGAGGATGGTTTGCAACATGGATGAGTGGTTGTCTCCTCCTGAAATAAGAGTTTTAGCAGCAGGACTACCATTGGAAGTAAAATCGTTGCCATTTTTGGCCACTTGGAAGCAGAAATGTTTCAAGATGAGCACAACATGTAGCTGAGCTGAAGTATTTGTGCTTTAAGGCATGGGGATAACGCCCAAAAGCATGCTGCCCTTTGAAGGGGGAGCTGCTAGAATGGAGCAGTTCATCCCCAAAATAAATAATGTTGGTGGGAAAATGGGAGGGCTCCAGATGAGCTGTTGAATCTGCCATGGCAAGGACATTTGTGTCTTTATGCTGAAACAAGATTTGGATGCTGTCCATGCCCTGACCTGTCCTCAGGTGAGGCTTTTTGTCCTGCTGTGAATGTACACAACCTTCTAAGCCAGCACAGAGACACAGTCCCTTAGGTATTCATCTGCATCCCAGGGACCAGAAGATAGACTATTACACTTATCACCATTATTAGAAATATTTCAGGATTGCTGGTTTAGGATATGGAGGTTATTTCAAGTGCAGGGTGAGCTACGATTTGGATTAACTGTCCTTCAAAATGTCATAGTGTTTCACAGAAGGAAGATGAAGATGCTCGTCATGGTGAGAAATCTTTGCAAAATGGCCATGAAACTGAAGCTACTTATTGCTGTTGAGGCAAACTGATGTGAATGGCTCATCTGAGTTTAGTGTTTAATATCCCCATCAGTCTGTCAAGGAGAAGATTAAACATTTGAAATGACATGACAAAATCCCTGCGTATCATGTCAGGAATTTGAGAGAGGAATTAGTCTTAAGTGCTCACTAGAAACTTGAGCATTAAGGTGGAGGTGCACAGAACATGGTGCATGTTGTATGTAGCTCTTTTTTTCTGGGTGCTGCACTTCATTTTTTTTATGCCTTTTTGGTGTTGGAACCATTCTGCTTGAGCCCTCAGCCCTTGCAACAGAGCAAACAAAAAATTCAATCCCAAGCTTGAAATGAGGGGAGAATTGCCTTGGATATTAGGAGGCTGTTGCAATCCTGCTGTGCTGAACTTAGTCAGTGGAGGATGTACTACAGCCTGTGGTCAAACCTGTGTCTTCACCTTTAGCTCTAATTTGACCTTTTTCTGTCCTCATCAGCCCTGAACAGTAGTTGTGTCATCCTTGCATGTATTTGCCTATCATAAGCTGAAAGTCAAAGCTTTGGGTTTTGTCTTTGGTCTCTGGAAACATGAAACATATTTCAGGGAAACCAGCTGTGTTCCCTTCTGTGGAGTTTCACAACAAATGAATTCTGCAAAATAAGGCTTGTATTGTTGTTGCAGTTGCTGTGTTCTTTTGATATTTTATTTTTATTTCCATAATGAGATTAAATTCTAGACACTGCTTCTTCCCTTGGGAATAGTTTTAAGGCAGCTCTCTTCCTAGATCTAAATTATTCACCAAGGAAGATTTTTTTGCTGAGATGAGAATGAGGAGGTTGGATCTGGGACTGTTGTCATGGCTTGGAGCTCTTTGAAGCTCTTCATCATGAATCATTAAAAAGGGCTGCAATAACATGGCAAAAGAGAGAACTGGCTCTTTGTGTAGGTGATTTGAGAGTCACCTTTAAATGTGCACAAAAGGATTAATCTCAACTGTGGTTTTTCACATTGAGAAAATAGTAAGTTGTGTTTAATTTCCTACTGACTCATTTCCTTGCGTGCTACAACTTACCATTGGGTTTTATGTGCAAGTACAGTTTACACTTTATACAATTTGCTTAATAGGCATCTAAGCTGCAAATAGCTGTAGGTATTTATTTTGTGCTTAATAGTGCAATGACTTGGATGGCCTGTTTTTACCATCCACCCCGATGCCTTCTGTAGTGTAGAGGGAATAATGTGAAGGAAGAAAAGGCAATTTGTTTGATCTGATTCACTCACATTCCTGACAGTGCTGGCCAAAGCCTTGAGAAGTCACTAGGGTGTTGGGTGGGATGAGAGCTGCTTGGGACAAGGAGGAGGATGACATAAACCCTGTCCTTGTCGATGTGTTCTCCCTTTCCCAGTTGTATTTTTAATTCTTGGTGTTAGACTGAGAGATCTGGGGCAAGGATGCTGTGTTACTGCCCAGTTAGAACTTTGCAGCAGCTGGATAACACAAGAGCCATTGGATGGAAAACCTTTCTTATTGCCCCAGGATTGGAAACACATTGTGCCATCCCAATTTGCTCATCACATCTCTGTTTGTGTGGGAGTAGTTTTGGGTAAGCTTTTTGGATTCTACTCCACTTTTGGAGTAGAATAGAGTGTTACTGTACGTAATAAACTACAGGCAGCCTCTCTCTGTGCTAT